AAAAAACGAAAAGCAAAGTTCTCCTATTTATGATGAGTACTTCGTTAGCAAGCTGCGTGCACCTACTATAAAAGAAATAACGATTCACAGCAAAGTACAAGACTTAGAAGTCTGAAATTTTGCACATATTTCTAAATATGTCTAAGCATTATAACAAAGTACTTAAACTCAAACTACGGCTTTTAGAAGAGCCGACGAAAAAAACTTTTGTAGTGCCCCACGTATCATCTATTTCATTATAGTTACACTCCTTTTTCACATTTTGTTTTGAGAAATTATATTGTTTTTAGGCGGCAGTATATTATTCTAGGTGAAAAAGATAGTATAGAACTCGTTAATTCGTTACGAATTTACGAACTTTGCTACGAATTTACGAATTAATGGATTAAAGAGTTAACGACTTTACAAACTTGACAAATAAATCCCATTCACAGGGTTTTGCTCTCACCCTCAGCTGTCCATGTTAAGTTCGTTAATTCGTAACGAATTAACGAGTTGTACATATATGCAACTGATCACAAATAACAAACCAATTTTTGATTTTCATCCAGAATGGTATTCGAAATGGAGCAACAAGTGTGTCGCTATTAATAAAACTATCACCACCATATATATTTATGTAAAAGGAAAATTCGATTTGATTTAACCAAGGTAACTTTATTTGTATCAGTTGTTCCTATGGAAAATCGATTTCATTTATGCCACCAGTTAATTGAAGATGTATCAATGATGATGTCTTAGAAAGAAATGATTTAATAATAAAATTTGACCTGGTGTAGTTGATTGATCGGAAAATGTAAGTGAAATAACATTGTCTGGTTGAATAAATTGACAAACTCGAATAAAATCAGCTTTCGAGATATTATCAAAATTCAGTTGATACCGAGTATTATGAAAAATAAACATTTATTATAGTATCTAAACGTTTACATACATGATGAAGTGAAAAAATAATAGTTTGTATATTAAGATTATCAAATATATGATAAATAACTTCAATAGGTGGTGTGTTCAAATATAGAATAAATCTTGTAGAAATCTATTATCAGTAAAAAAAATATCTTGATAAGTGATTTAAATAACAGAAAGTGAATGCATACTAACTACATCATTTATTTGTTTTTTTTTGCAAAATGAGAAATATCTTTTAAAATTATAAATCTTGAGACAGTCAAGAGAAGAAACTCATTTGACCACAAACTGGAGAAGCAACACAGGAGAGAACAATAGAGAGAGAGAATGAAAAAGAAAGATAATATCAGGAGAACAATATCATTATCGGCGCACTCTCTTCACTCAATTTCTGAGTACTTGTACAACCCACAATAATAAATTCATCATAAAAATTTAATAAATCAATGAAAAATCAAAAAGGATACGACTGACATTGCATTATAAAATCTTAAACAATCATTCACATTATGGACTATTTTCTATTATTTTCGTAATTAATAATTAATTAATAGTGATATTTGTTCGTAGCATAGAAAAGCAAAACTTTCTTATAAGGGGCAAAATAAAAGCTCAAATTAGTCACTTAATAAATTCTTACTCATTTAAAGCTCTACCAACCCATTATACTGAAAATAAATCACGACATATCTTTTTTTTTCAATCTGTTTATACTTTTCCTTCCTTTGATAATGATCTGTTTTAGTCATTAGTATTAGGTAGTTAGATAAGATGCAATTGACAATGAGTGATATAATACAGATCACTATCATTGATTTCATTGTACTGTAAACGATATTTACGATAGATATACAATCAGGTTCATTATCATTAGCTAAATATAACAGAAACAGAAAAGAATGCGATTGAGATGAACAATGATAAAATGCAATGTCCAGATTCTAAATTTGCATATTTTCATACATTGATTAGAATAATCTATATTCGTTATCGTCAATGATTGTCAACTTATAATCTCTTGATACTCATGAATGATAAGAATTTTCTTCGTCGATTGTAGCAAATATAATTCTTAATGTTCTTTTACATATGCTCATAACTTCTAATTATTGCTTCACTTGACAACGGAACAGAGACTTGGAAGCAGTATGAAAGTTAAAACTTCGTATAAATCTTTAGTTTTTGAAATAGATAAAATTATGCAGAATTAGTAACAAGATATCCTTTTCGAATATTTCACTTAATAGCAAGGATAATATTCGGGGGTGTAACGATTCGTAACGAGAAATTTACAGGGCTTTCGTAATACGAAAGCCCTGTCATCGTTTTTACTACAGGGCTTTCGTAACGAATTTTGACAGGGCTTTCGTAACAAATTCTGACAAGGCTTTCGTATCAAATTTTGACAGGGCTTTCGTATCAAACTTATACAGGGCTTTCGTATCGTTTTTGACAGGGCTTTCGTAATCAAGTTCTTATTGCATTCATAACTAAAATGAAAGACTGGTACTAAAAAGAACAGGGCATTCGTTACGAATACGCATGCTTACAAATATCGCTTAAGTCATTAAGTGGGATCCATTCGTAACAAGTTTTATATACTTAAATGGTCCAAATACATGGTACTATACTGTGAATGAATTATTTGTATACATTCATAGATGTCGTTGTTATTTCTAGTTCTCTATGTTTTTCCAGAATTGTGTACGCCTTTTTTTTGTTAAAGTTGCTGACTTAAAATCGAGGAAATCAATTATGTGTATTCTTAATTCTATTATCTTGATATTGTTCTCGTTCACTCTTCTCTCTTTATATATTGCCTGGTTTTTGTTACTTTTTGTTGTTACTAAGAAAGAGATTTACAAGAAGATAAAAATTTGTCTATACTTATATTCTGGTTCTCACTTTCTACTGTTGAACTATTTATGTTATAATTTTGGTAGATCACTAATTTCAATATGAAATCCTGTCAGCAACATCTGACGAAAGATCATACCAAATCCTTTTACGTTACGATAGCCCTGTAAGAACGGTACGAAGATCCTGTAAGACCGATACGAAGACCCTGTCAAAATTGTTACGAAGGCCCTGTAAACTTGATAGGAAAGCTCTTTAAGAAATGATACGAAAGCTCTGTCTAAAACGATACGAAAGCCCTGTCAAAAATCGATACGAAAGCCCTGCTTTTTATGATTTATGCATTTTACATTGTTACGAAAGCCCTGCTTCTTACTGGGCTTTCGTAACCAACCGTTACGAATCGTTACCTTCCCTAATATTCATCTTTCTCTTGTGTTTCTCTTCAAATAACTAAATGAAGACATTTAAAAAGAGCCAGATAACGATCAAACGATGATAACTGATGCATTTTATATGTATAATATTATAATGAAATCAAAAATAAAAACACTGAGAACCATAAGTATTAAATCTTAGTTCATTTTACACACATCAATATGCTATATAGCGTCTTGGTTTTTTTTGTCGTTTTGCCTCGGCACAATTGAGGAAAGAGTTGAGTACATTTATTCGAACAATAAAGATTGATTAGATATATAATAATAAAAAAGAAAAACAACATGGTAGAAATCATAGCAAAGCTTGAATAGATATTTTTTTAACAAAAAGAAATTTTTATCTTTACATATTTCGTATGAGAGAAAGTGAGAAGGAGAATAGAATGTGTAAAGACAAAATAGATGTAATGGCTATCATACCGTGTAGCAAACTTGCTAATTACAACTTACTAAGAGATATATTATCTGCTATGTGATCAAATTCATGTTGTAATGATGAAAATATGCGGGTTTAGTGGCTACACTGATCTACCAGAGTAACACATTTTCGATAAACAATATGGAAGCATAGTATAAAAAAGGGAACATCCCATTATCGTTCTGCAGATACACATCTTTTTAGAAAGTTATATAATTTCTTGTACTTCATAATGTTTAGTTTGTATTTATACGAATTATTGAATGATAATTTTTAGCGAAATAAGTGTGGCAACTGCTCTATTAAGATAAAAATAATAATAAAAAAGAAGATGCAATCATACGCTGATGTTTGTTAATGTTGTGACTATGAAACAAATTTGATCAAATAAGAGTAAAGATAGGGATTTTTTTATGCTAAAACTACGTATATTCTGTGGTGAGAAATATGCTAAAAACTTGTACTGATATTCTCCATTTCTCTTAATTGTTTCACGTTTCAGAAAAATTCTCTTCGCTTGTGTACATACTAACTACCTTAAAAAAATTCTATTTCAGTAATAAACATAGTTACGTGTAATCTTAATAAGATGGGGGTGTGGGTGTGGGGGTGTGGGTGTAGGTGTGGGTGTACTTTCAGAAATGGTCCACACCCACACTCTGGATATGTGTGGTCGTAGATGTAGGCGCGGGTGGGTGCGGGAGAAGGAAAGATGTACACCCACACTCACTACACCCACACCCACCACACCCAAACCCATACCCACACCCACACCCAATTCGTGTTACCAATATATTAGTATGCCAATATCTTCGAATATGCATGAGACGAAAAACTTTTTCGTTGTCTAATCAATAGACTTCTTTCTTTCTTTCACTTCTGCTGAAGTTTCTTTTTTTCTTTTTTATTGATGTTTTTTTGAGTTACTTTTTTCCAAGTGTCCTTTTTTTTGATTTACTTCTATATAGAAGCATGCAACAGTTGTTTTGCCATTTAGTCGATGATACTTGAATTCAAAAGCTACATCAAAGACAATTATAGTTCTTTTGGTAGTAAAAAAAAAAGTAATTTGATTTTCATTTTAATTACTTTTTTCTTCATATTAGAACACTTAACAATCTACATTATATCTGGTTTCAAAAGATACTAAAAGCTCATCGAAAAAAAAGTTACTATACATTACTAGATAAAACCTCGTACTAAAAATTGGAAAAAATTTCTTTGAGAACAATTTTTAATGATTAGAAAAGTAATAGGTATTGATTTGGGTACAGCATATTCATGTGTGGCTGTATTTCACTATGGAAAAGTTCAAATCATCCCTAATGAACAATGCAATGGAATTACACCATCATATGTTGCATTCACTGATACTGGACGTTTGATCGGTGATCCAGCTAAAAATCAAGCAGCTCGAAATCCAGATAATACAATATTTGATGTCAAACGACTTTTTGGTCGTAAAGGGTGTGGGTGGGTGTGGGTGTGGGTATTAGTGTTTTAGTCGTCCACACCCACATGTAGAAAATGAATTGTTTTAAAAAATTTTAATCAAAAGCTTTTTTATGTAAAGAAAAGTTACTACAATTCATAGAGTGCGTAAAGTTTTTGTTCAATAAAGATTTTTAATTTCAAAGTATTTGCTGCTGTGCATAGAAGACGTAAACTTGCAACAGAAAAAACTTTTTGATCTAGATAGGATCCGAGTGATAACTAGAAAGCTGTATACGGTAAGAAAAACAAGTTTTTTTTTACTAGCAATTATCAAGTTTTATATGAGATAAAACTATATGCACATAATAACTGGCTTTGAAGTAATCTAACTCTCTCATTAAAGGACTATTATCCATTGGGCATTAAATAAGTTTTTGAGAGAGAACTAACTATTTTTGATAGATATTGGCTAGCTAAATATTTTCTTTGTTATTGATAAAGGAATAATTATAATATACCAATTCGAATTATTGAAGTGTGTGTATTTCATCCACAATAGCCGAATCCACACCCACACCCTTAATATCATTTGCTATGTATGTGCACTTAGCTCCATGTTTACTGAATAAATCAAAAGTAAATAAATGCTGATGGACTCTTTGTGTGCTTCCTATCTCTTTTCTCTTCTATTCCTCTTTTTTTCGTTCTATATCTCTTCCATTCTCTACTCATCTGTCATTATCATGGCTTTTTTTTGTGAATAAGTTTTCTTCTACCGGTCAGATAAGCACTTGAGTGTTATAAAAATAAAAAAAGAAAGATGCAATAAGTCACTTGTGACTGTGTATTTGTGATAACATTCATTTTGAAAGAACACATTATGAATGTCTACTGTTTTTAGATGAATGTGTCTGTCCCTCTTCCTCATTCTAAATATCCAGCATTATCATTATCACCTGTAACGATTGATGATGCTTCGGATATGGTTGTTATTCTCAATGACGAAGAGACTGTCAAATATCTTATTGGTCCTCCATATCCAATATCGATCGAACAAATCAAAGATTACATATCTTCTCGTCCTTCAGTTAATGGTCTGTGTCTAGCATGGGCAATTCGTTATAACGGAAGACTAATTGGTGAGGTAGGCCTAGAGCCTAAAGAAGCTCTTCAAACGTACGAATTGGGGTATTATTTGTCTCGACATTATTGGAACAATGGTATTACCAGTTTGACGACCAAGACTTATTTGAACGTGATAATGAAACAAATTAGTATCGGAGAGAATATCACAATTATAGCAGGGTATATTATTGACAACTTTGCGAGTGGGAAGATTTTGAAAAAATGTGGATTTATAGAAGTAGGACATGAAGAGAAGATGAAGAATGGACATAAATTACAAGGTGTTAAAATGGTGCGAATCATCCAAGGAAAAGAGCAAACAGCTGATCTTAACAGTTCAAGCCATTAGAGGTCTTACGATTTCATCACTACTATATTGTGACCTTCAATGAACGTTGATTATAGGCACAGTCTTTCTCTATTTCATATCCTATGTAAAAATTTTTGTCAGAAAATCAGATTAAAATCACTTGTTCGCAAAAAATCTGATGAAATTGATTTTTTTTTGTCTTGAACTCAGATTAAATTTCCAAATCGAAAATGGTATTAATCAATATTTTTTTTTCAAGATCTTCTCGGAATTTGTTACAAAAGAATGATTGGAAGAACAACTCGATTATAACAATTTTTTTTTCTTGTGAAACAATGATGTCTGGTTCACACCTTTTGATTGATACTCTTTGCACAATGGATAGCATAATACCCACACCCACACCCACACCCTAGAAAGCTGAAACTTACAATTATTAGTTCTACGATTGGTGAAAATTTCAGGCTTATTTTTCGAGTTGAGTCAAAAATTTCGCGGAAAATAACTCCTGTCCTTTGTTTTATGGTGCTCTAGAAGGATTACTGAAGTAAATAATAGATGAACGAATAAATGCTTAACACTATACGTTGTTGTTTCTTGATGGTTTTTGGTAATGTTTAAAACGACCATCTAGTGATACTCATTGACGAGGTTATATGATAGCTATGAAAAGTACAGCGTTTAAATAAAATACTCAACAAAAGAAAAGTGTATGTTAATCAAATTTCATTGAAACCGCTAATTCTTTCGGTGCAATTGTTATTCTTTGACGATGACCACCATTGTTTCCAGGTGCATCAATAAAAGTAACGAATAACATATAACGTATAATGATTACTTTTAATTCTAGTCGAGCTAAATCTTGTCCAATACAAGCTCGATGTCCACCTCCGAATGAAATAAAAACAAATGGATTATAATTGACATCGGGCGCATCAACACCAAAAAATCTTTCTGGAATAAATTCAGTTGGATCTAATTTCCAATATCTTGGATCATGTTGCATTAAAGTAAATAATGATGCAAGTGTATCTCCTTTATAAAATTTGATTCCATCAATAACAGTATCATTGAGAAGTGTTCGCAATGTACCAAATAAAATTGGTGCCAATCTAAGTATTTCTTTTATGACACAGTCAATATATTGACATTTATCTAATAAATCGAAATTGTCCAAAGGTGTTTCAATTCTTCTTTCATTTTTTGTTGAATTTCAGATTTTTTACTTACAAAATGAATAAACCATGATAGAATACTTGATGATGTATCAAAATCGGCCACAATTAATCCTAATACTTCACCTAATAATTCTTTTTTCGTAGTTCCTATCTGTTCTTTTTCAGGTTTTCTTTTCTCTGTTGCTTCATCCTTTTGTAATGATGATATTAATGATGCAACCAGATTTACTGGTCTGGCATTTGGATCCATTTCTTTTTGACAGTTTTGAATTATATTTTCTACATGATTCTCCAGTATTCCCAAAGCATGTTGATATTGTCTATCAATTTTCAATAGATAATCATTGACAAAAGTTGGCATGCCATTAACTGTAACACGTTTTAATGCATTCAACCAAATTGACATTGCGAAACTCATTTCTGATGGTTCAGTTTTAGTTTCTGTATTGCGTCGGTTAGTGATTTCGGATAGGTGGTTTAAATTATCCAAATCATAATCAAATGTTAAGAGTGAAAATGTATCCAACATTAATTGTTGATTATCTGTCACTATAGATGTACATATGGCATTATCTCTATTCTAATATCTATCTTTCCAAACATGAATCAATCGATCAGCACAATCGATAATAATCGAAATTTGTGATTTAAATCGATGTTTTCTTAACATTGGCATAATTACTTTTGCATGCCGTTTGTATTTTGGACCAATAAGTGTTATCAGAAAATTTTCTGCTATTAAACCAAATGTTTTTGGACGCATATCGGCACGATCGAATATATGGCGTTCAGAATATATTATTTCAGCGTGTTCAGGACGACAGAATACAAAATAATGATTTGAACCGATCCAAATTTGAAATATATCTCCATATTGCTTTTGTAGTTTTTCAAAACTATGAACATATGAATCAATCACTTCTTTGTTCGATGTCATAATGCCGAGTTGACGAAGATTGCCATATATAAATTCTGGTTGTAGTCCAGAAATTTCAGGTCGTAATGTATAATATTTCCATTTTAAATAATAATAGACCGTGATTGGTAATACTATGATCAATGATAATAGTACAGTCCAAAACATTTTCTGAAAATACACAATTGTAATCAAATAAACATGGTAGCATTATGTCATACAGCAATGCTTTCCACCACGAATATGGCGAATATAATCCTCAGACAAAAAAAAAACAAAGGAGGAGGCGATCGCCCTCCACTGTATGATTCTTCGTCACTGACTTACTTATTTTCAGATTAACAGAGAAAATCCTCATGGAAGGGGAAACAAAATAGGAAGCGCAAACTCTAGGGTAGACAAACAAATGTGCCGAAGATGATGAATCATAAACAGAGTTGCCACCTCTTCTGCTTTTAGCAGAAAAATTCTGCTTTTTGAAGTTTTTTCTGTTTTTTTTCTGTCGTTTCTGCTTTTTTTGATACGATGTTATTTATTATTTTAATCAACATTTTTTACCTGAAATACCTTCGTTTCCATAGTTATTAAAAAAGCCGTATCAAAAACTACTGATGTTTTTGTGCCATTCTAATTCTTTCTATTTGATACAAATGATTTTCTATTTTCTACTGACTAAAAACAACTACCAACCCATATATTTGGCTTTAAATCAATTCTTTACCTATGGTTTTCTATTGTATTTTAATTACTCATGTAATTCATATACATCAACACATACATTCTTTCGTTTGTGTACTTAATGAACATGAATAATTAGTATGATCAGTGAGAGAAAAGGAACAAAAAAACAGCTCTGGATGATAATGACAGCTCAACTAGCGAAGAAGTTATTCACAAAGGAGTGGTAGTTGCGGAAGTAATAATTATGTCATCAGGAGTTAAACCAGAAAACAGAAATTAAATAGGGTTATCTTCAACAGAGAATCGTTCAAAGTCGTGGAATATTAATGATCTTTAAAAGGATATAAATTTGATCCGTCTCAACTAACATTTATCGTTCGTTATCAACAGTTTCCCAAACCTTGCTAATAAAAAGCTAATATTGATGATCTTATAAACAATAAGAAACAAAAAAACTTTTAAATGCAATGATTTAATCAACACTTATCTTGAATTTCTCCTTATCACATACTGTAATGGATAAATATTTATTAGATAAAAAAGATTTATCAAAAGCTCTTAACTCAGATGAAGAATACTCTTTAAAAAGAAAACGTGTTCAACAATTCTGTCTATTTGTTAATTAGTTGTGTTTTGTGATGCCATACAATCCAAGTGATTAGTATGCTGAAACTAAAATTTAAAACTAGCGGATAGCTCGTAATAAAAGAGGGTCTCAGTATTTTGTTAACATCTTAAGCGTTATCTTATCGTTCACGCTTTATTTTTGTATCGAAAGATTTACTGTCTGATTCCGCAGAGATTGGTATATTTCGCTGTAAAAAAACACTTATCTCTCTTTCAACATCATCATGATTTAAAACAAGCATTGCACACAACTTTCAAAGTCTTCATTTTTTTTCCAATCTTTTTCCAAAATGTCCAGTTTCTCAATTAATTCTGTTACTTTGGATATAATTTGTTCGCCACTCAAGAGATAAATTGGTTCATTGTAATCCACGTACTAAAGACATTTTATTTTATTTCTGGATAAAGAATATGGCATGACCAATGATAATAAGACTAATCTAAGGACTGGATGTTTTCGGAAAAAATTGAAAAAAATAAAGATTTTGAAAGTTGTGTGTAGTGCTGTTTTTAAATCGTGGTGATGTCGAAAGAGCAAGAAATAAGCATTTTTACAACGAAATACGCAATTTGTGCAGAAGCAGATGGTGAATCTTTTGATAAAAAAATAAAGCGTGAGCGATAAGATAACGCTTAAGATGTTAATAAAATACTGAGACTCTCTTTTATTACGAGCTACCCGTTAGTTCCATATTATAAACATACTTTCTGCTGTCTTTCTGCTTTTCGATGATAAAACTTCTGTTATTTTCTGCTTTTTGCAAAGTATTTTCTGCTTTTCTGACTGCAAAAGGTGGCAGCACTGGCAGAGACATAATAATACCGTGTGTAATTGCACCACATTATTCTCAATTCAAATGAAAGCGTTGTTCTCTTTTTGCAAAACTCGGTACAGATGGCTATAATGTCTTGATTACTTCGCTTTGTAAATCAATGGTACATTGCAGAGCTCCGCGGGACGAATCCCGCCCGGTCCCGCGCTTTTCCGTACGTCCACACACTATTGTATGTTCACGCTTGTTTCTTTCCATTATGTTTGTCAACACGTCTATCAAATATCAA